ATAAGGAAAACCGAAAGACTACGAAACTAGAAATGATAAAAATGAGGAATATTACAAGCGTAACTTACATCGGATCTTGACTCCGGGGTAGAGAACTCCTAAACTTCGTTCGGCTCCGAAATGCTTTCGCTACAGTGACTCCTCGCAACTGAGCTACTTGCCAATAGAAGGCGAATTTAGTTCTTACACCTTGACGTACGGGAAATAGAAATGAACAGTGCTTTATGTACTTAGCTTTGAGCGGATATTCGCTATTCACGGAACAGAAATTAAACAAAGCGCGCTAACAAATTAAATAGAAAGTTATTGAAAGTTTCTTAGTGTCTTTGTGCTAAAAACGGAAGAGTTACATAAGTAAAAAAGACTAGAGTTCGTATCCGTAAACGTGACAATCACCAATGAGAATTTCGATGAGTAACCCCCCCTCTGGAAGGGGATATGAACCTCTAAAACCTTCTAAGAATCTATTCAGTAAGAATCTCAGAGATGGTCAGGGAGAGAAGTGAGTTCAATGTGTCACCTGATTACGCAGTGACATGAGCGGCCGGATACATGACATCTTCTCCAGCCGCTGCACAACCATTCCGCTCGGCTGGGCTTAATTTCAACCATCGAGCGATGCGTAAAACTCAGATGCATGAGATGCCTACGATGGAGTAAGACATGAATGTTCTTTGATCGTGAAATTTAGTGCAGTGAAACTTATTGAAAGCAAAGAAATACTAACAATGAGTACAGGGCCGAGCGTGTCCACTGCGGCAAGCAGCGAAGATGAGAAGAAAGAACATAGGCTTGTTGATGTCATGTTCCTCTGCGACGAGTGGAAATCTTCGAAGGGTGGCTTATCAACTTTCAATCGAGAATTTGCTATTAATTTGGCAGAAACAACGACTGGTAGCATGAAAATCCACTGCTACGTTTCGAAAAGCGATGATCGAGACAGAGAGGATGCCAAACAACATGGCGTAAATTTAGTCACAGCTAGAAGTGTTCCTGGTTCATCCGACCCCTTCGAGTGTTTGAAGTTTCCACCCTCCGAGCTCCCAAACCCACAGCTAGTGATAGGCCATGGAAGAAAGCTGGGTAGTCCCGCATATTCCCTTATGCAGTATACAAAGTGTAAGTGGATTCAATTTGTCCACGTTTACTGTGAAGACCTGGGGAAATACAAGAAAACAACAGCAGTTGCAACAGATACAATTGAAGAGAACGAAAAGAAGCACAAGATGGAAATTGACTTGTGTAAAGTAGCGGATGCGGTCGTCGCTGTTGGATCCCGTCTGCAACAGAAGTACAGTAGAAGTCTGCCGAATGTCAAAGTGGAGATTATTACTCCTGGAATCTTTGAAAAGTTTTCCAGTGAATCACAGTTCGCTATACATCGATCAGATGTAAAGAACTTTAACGTGTTCTTGTTTGGCCGAGCTACCTTTGAGGATCTCTCCCTTAAAGGATACGATATTGTCGCAAATGCCATAGGTTCTCTTGGTAAGAGGTTTGAGTTGAAGTTTGTTGGCTCATCTCCTGGTGAACATCAAAAAGTTGAGCAATGGTTTCTTGACAACACTCGCATCAATCGCAACCAACTAACCATCCGTGGATATTGCAGTGATCCAGAGGAACTTAGGACGATGTTCTATCAGTCAGACTTGGTTGCTCTGCCTTCACGTACCGACGGCTTTGGGCTTGTCGCGCTCGAAGCCGTTTCTGCTGGTATTCCTATACTTGTTTCTGGTGAATCTGGCATAGCTGAGGCTTTGAGAGAAGTTAAAGGTGGGAAAACTGTTATTGTTGAATTGGATGAAGATACAGATGAATGGGCACGAAGGATTAGTAAGATGGCTAAAAAAAGTGCAGAAGAAAGAGAAGCTAAGGCCAGACGGCTTAGAAAGAACTACAGAAAGGTGTACTCTTGGAGAGTGGAATGTGAGAAGTTCAAAGGGATGATTGCAAAAGTGATGGAAAATGCAAATGGTAGGTTCAGTTTTTTTTAATTTTTTGTTATGTACAGTTTAGATCCATGCAATATTGTTGCTTTATCTTATCTGGAAATGTAGAAATTTATTAAAAAGACTATATTGTTCATTTAATTAGTGCAAGGTTCTTGTTGTTTTTGTGTAAATGTTGAGATATAGTCACAACCCTTTTTTTCCCACTTTCTTCCATTCTCCTTGTTATAATAATTATTTTTAATTGCGGGCATGCTATGCTTGTAACACTAATGTGTTTAAGCTATCCTTTCAGTCTAGCAATATAGTGAGACTAAAGGGATGTGGGAGGTAAAAGGGAGGTTGTTGCAGGAACAATTTTGCCATGTTCTTGTGTTTGTTTTTTCTTGCTACCTTGCTTGCTTTGTTTCCCTTAACTTCTTACCTTCCCTCCCACTTTTGGGTTGGTGTTGATTCCGCACATTGGGTTGTCTGTGTTTAGACTTATGTTGTGTTGGGCTGTACATGATTTAGTTGCCATGGCAACTCCCTGGCTGCTGAGGAGATTTTTTCCTCCTCTGTGGCTATCTTTAATCTATAGCCCCTGCCATCCAAAACTAATGAGGTGGTGTTTTAAGAAATTAAAATATCGAGATGTTAGAAAAAAGGTCACTTAATTAACTATTATTGTACATTTGCAAAACTTATTTAACTAGGCTAAGTCTACTAAGTAATGGAAAGAACACATCTGAGTGTAGTGATGACTACAGAGATGGCCTCTTTCGTTTTGTCCCTACAATAATCCTGCCCCAAAATGGAAGTGTATCCATCAAATAAAGTAATCAGACAGAGAAAGGACAAGATGTTAAGAAATTAAGATACTAATGATGCTGCACTTTCCCTTAGGCCAGAAAAATACAATGAAAGCAACCCTCTTCACAAAAATAAGTCTCTTTCAAAAGTCTTAGAAACAAAATGCTCAGATTTGTATACATTGAAACTGTTGAAGATGTGTGCATGCAAAAATAGTGATTCTATTTGCAAGAATAGTTCGAAAAAGATTCTTGAGAGAAATGCTCATTAGTTTACTCAGGGACTGGAATGTACATTTTCACTGTTCTTCCTAGAGCATCTCTTCCTTCCTACTCCTGAAAAAGCAGGTGGATCATCATAGGAACAGATTAAAATATTATTGTTGACTGGGTAAATTTTTTTTTATGGCTTTCCCCCAAATCTTTTGATGTGTTTCACAATAACATTTAGAGATTTGAGATGCGCACCAGTTAAAAATTAATTATAAGGACTGTGATTAATTTTTACTTTTCATTACATTGCAGATGATGAGATAGATGTTGGTGTTGAAGTGGAAGACCTGAAACCTGCTAAATCCAAAAATCAAACAACAACTTCAAGCATGGAGTCAGCAGAATGCCAAATGGATGAGCTCCTGAAGTCATCTGCTGAATCAACCATGGTAGGAAGTGTGTCTCATCCAGGAACAGAATCTCTTCCAGAGATTAGAGAGAAATTCTTTTATTTAGTTGGGAAACGCTATTTACAGACTATGAAACCACAGAGTAAGAAGGAGTATGATGAGTTTATAGATTACTTGCAAAAACTGGGAGCTATCATGACACGTGTACGGCGTGGAAGTTTGGTTATAACAGTTAAGTGTGAATCTCTCCAGATCTTGGAGGACTTGTGGAAAGATTATTCATCTGGTCATCTTGGTGAAGTGGTTCAAAACTGTTTTGTGACTGAAAAGATCTTGAAGGAACTGAACCTGGCAGAACTGAGGCTGAAAACAACAATTGACACAGAAGACTACAATGCATGTAAAGTGTACTTTGAGAAAGTTGCACACAGAGGTTAGAACCGTACAAGACCAGATCGTCTCAAAAATCTTTTAAAGAGGTATCTCTCTTTCAACATGGAGAGGGTTTTCAAATGGTCAGAAGATAAAGATTAACCCATTTAGTTTTCCCTCACTCTGTCCAGCAGTACGAGGGAATAATTTGAAAGTTGTCAGTGGCAAGGGATGGTGAAACAGTATATGATGATTAATTAAGTTGTCTCAGCTTTGATCATAAATTATGCATTGAAAAATTGACAGTGATGTACCGTATACACAATTCACAATTATAACAAATAATTGTGATAATCATGGCAGTTTTCTTAGAATGATGGCCACATGTAAGTTTCACAGGCTATTTCTATTAATAACAATAATCCCTAGACTTGGTCACAGTAAACAGAAACAAAATTAATCCTTTTTGTTGTTTTGATGTATGAAGAAGTGGAAGAATTCATAGGTGTTTTGTAAAGGGGGCAAAACCAGTTGGAATGAAACTGAAACTCAAGGAAGAGAAAAGTTAAAAAAGAACTTGAATATGGAACTAAATGTACATTATGATTCAGTAAGAATGCTGTTCAAGGCTTTTTACTTGATATGTAAATCTCCATGTAAATTTTTCCAAATTTGGTCATGCCTCATTCTCTACTTTAGTGTAAGTGAGTATTGAGTTGGCATTGGTACTGACTTCATATGTTTGTATTGAAAAGTCACTTTCAACAGCTATTTTGGTTTAAATTTTGTTGGTTTAAAGGCAATCTCCTACATGTAATTTATGATATTAAAAATATTATTCACGTTGGTTTTCCTATTTCATGCTAACTATTTTTCAGTAGAAAAGTCAATGAATGCTAATCTCTCTCCCTGTATTTCTTTCTATTTCAACATGTTGTCCTTAATTCTGTGTATCCTCCACCTTTTGATCCTGAAAAAGAACAAGAAGAGCTACTTGATCTCAAACTTCAAAGAATGAAAGGTAATTAAAAGACACTGTTAAATTAACTTTTTTGGTAAAACTAAGACTGCTTTGAAATACTTTAAGTTTTCAAAATAGTTTGTTTGAAAGGAAATTAAATCCAAATGATTTCTTCTTCACTCTGCGACATATCAAGTTTTCATGGAAAGTCGTTGTGAACAGGAATAACAATTTTGTGAAAAATCCTCAGAGAATTATCTTAGTGAAATACTATTATGTATTTATGTGGCATAGGTAATTTTGGAAATGATGCAACTTATGGGAAAAACACGTTTGAATTGAAGCTGTGAATGCTAATCTATCTCAGTACTTTTTCCGCTTAGGTATTCCACCCCTTACTGCAATACCCACCACTGGTCATGAAGAAGAACTAGAAGAACCCACAGAAAAGATAGGGAATTGGGAAGGTTTGTTTGAATTAATTTCTGAAGTGAATATGTTTTTGTGTTCAACTATTATGCCAAGTGTCAGGCAGTGGGCTTTGGGGATTAACAATTTAGGCTGGTTACTTATTAGCCAGCATTCTTAGCTATATCTATAATTTAAAACATTTTATTAGAATATGTACTCTTGTGAACAGAAAAAGAATGGTAGTTTGGATTAGACCTTGGGTAAATATCCTGCCCTCCAGGTCTAAAGGTCTGCAGGGTGAAACTAAACTGACAATGTTTTCAGTTTTCATTAAAAAATATTAATTTGAAAGTGAAGAAAAGCCAATTTTAGTTTTCTCTAGCTCTGCTATGATGTTAACTTCAGTGCCTATTGCTAACTTTGTTCTAAAGAGGTGCCTTTAACACCTATTTGTTTTGATGTACCTTTAACCTTTGGGCATCTTACCCCTTCCTGAATACTCTGCCATGATTCTTTCTGCTGTAGAACCTGAGGACCCCCCTGTTAAATTTAGGAGAATGGAAGGTGGGTAAAAAGTAAACTTTGAATTAATGGATTTTCTTGTGAAACTACATCAAATGAAGAATGCCATTAATTAGTTATTAATAATAACAAAATTTAATTTCTAGACATGTTGTCATGAAAAAAATTGTTCGAAATTTGTTTTTCTTCCTCCCTCCATCCATTAATATTGGGGGTGGCAAGTGAAGGATGAAACAGTGCAAGGAGTAATGAAACACTATTTGATAACACTGCTTTTTTCATCTTTAATCAAAAGTGATGCTAACAATACATGTACTGTATATAGACTGTTTATAACGACTTTGTGTATAATGTTTCTTGGTAACATGTTACTTTGACCTTTTCAACTTTTGAATTGATTTGAAGGGTGCATTTATTAGAATTATAATTGCTCTTTGCACTTTTGCTCCAAGGTTTTTCACCCTTTCATGAAATGTCCACCATTGGTCAGGAAAAAGGAGGAGAAGAACTGGAAGAAACTCTGAAAGGTGAACAGGAAACTCAATCAGTTTTACTTACATGTACTCTTTTATGAGGAGATGAATTCACCAAGACTGTGGTCAAATGCTTATTATGCAGTCTTGTCTTTTAAATAAAATATGTGTTCCCAATTTTTTCTTATTCTGCCTTTCGTTAATTAAAAGAAGCTTTCATTTGTTTGTACCATGGAACTGCGAAACAGTGTATTTATTTCAATGTGGTGAAATGGGTCTCAGTAATGATCCAAAAAGACACTAACACTAAAAATGTATGATACCTGTGTTGACCTTTCTTGACATAATAGAAAATGGACAATTCCTAGTATTTTTTTTGTTTCACAGAATCAATATCCACTTTAACCCTTCAAATACCAAGGTAGACCGAATTTCTATTAACCTTACAAGCAGACAAGTGATGCGAATAAAAAACATATCAACAAGGGGATTATCTGTCGATCCAATACCAAATTGTCTAAACTAACATAGAAATTTTATGGTGGATAGTAAGAAGAATTACTAAGTGAGATCTTGTAAACGAAAGGGTTAACTTTTGACTGTAGATTTCCTAGTTTTTTTAATATTATATATATAACTTTAATTAGACATTTAGTTTTCAGCACAAACAACCCCACAAGCCTTTTTGGTGTAAATTTCTGCAGTTTTGAACAAAGCCTATCTATCTATCTTGATATGCATGGTGGTATGCCTGTTTGCTGACTTTTTCCCATGGCAAATTGAGTCACTGCATGCCAATTTCTCTTTGTGTACTTTTGCTCTTAGCCACCTGGCCTCTCCTTGGACCTTCCACCTCTGATCTTAAAGAAGAATTAGAAGAGCTTCGTTTGAAACCTCAAGGAATGGAAGGTGAATGATAAATGTTGTTTAATTTGCTTTCAGGGTAGAACTAAACAGAGAATACCTTGAAATGCTCTCAGGTTGTATTCAAAAGATTACTTTGAAAGGTTACTAAACCCAATTACTTTCCCCCCACTCTGTCCAGTGGTATGAGGAACTATTTTTGAGTTATTAAAAAAAAAGCTATATATTAACGTATAGAGTGGTGTGTTTTGACGTAGCGTAATTTGATCAGGGCAATTTGGTGTATCTCTAAGGAATCTGAATGGCTCATCTAATTTTTGGTGCATCTCAAAGCAATGTGATTGGCACAATTTTTTGGTGTATCACAAACCAATCAGACTGTAGTATTTTTCGATGTCGCACCAATCAGAGCATGCTTGCTAATCTGTGGTTTGACTGGTCTTCAAATTTTAGCGAATCAAAGCATGACTTGGGAGAGGGGTTCCTGAATTAAGGAAACATACTAGTCATGTTGGGAAAGTGGTGGAGTTGTGATTGTTGTAGAACTATGGTTATTTTTCATTCTAAAGGAGACAGAGTGGAACATAAGAAAAACTTTGAATTAAATATTGCTTGAGATGTTCATGGGAGCAACTTCAGGATATTTCATTGCTATATATGAGTTAATCAGTGTTTCCATTTTGAATTTTGCTTAAAGATCGAAGGAGGTAAGTATGACATCTACAAGAGTTGCGAGTTCATCTATTCATTGTAATCGTTTGTGTCCTTCGTGAGAACTTTATCACTATGATCTGTCGGGATTAGAAAGGTTGTCAGGGACTTTTTTTCTACCATTAGCAAGTTAAAATGTGCATGTTTTGTGTACCGCTCCTTCACTTTTGACGCACACACTGTCAGCTAAAGGCCTAACACAAATTTAGCACCAGAGCACATTGTTTTGGAAGGGCTAGTTTTGCTGACTTGGGTAAAACTCACACAAACATTAATTTTACATAAATCATATTTGATTGATAATTTTTTTTTTCGGCTTGTGTTTGCTGTTTTTGCAAAATTTGAAAAGACAACCTAGTTACATTTACATTCTGCGTTGACTGCCATGTTAAATATCCGTTTCTTTATTTCTAAAAGTTCTTCAAGAATTAAATATTGTTTAAACATTACTTTCCTGCTACAACTGCTTGTTTACTTTTTACTTGCTAGTAGAGACTAGACTTTCTCAGATGAAATACCATTTTCCAGTAAAGAGTGTAAATTTTCACAAGGAGAAAAGATATATTCAAGTGTCCTTGAACAAGGATCAATCTTGTCTTAAACTCAGGTTTGATAAGTTTAAGTTGAAGTTTAAGTCACTTTTACCTAGAGTTAAGTTGGACTTAAACCTGGCCTATACTATCTTAAGGCTAAAACTTAATGTAGGTTTAAGTTCACATTAAATGTGGCCAAAACATTGATCCTGTATGTTTAAGTACTGTTTAATCGAAGTAAACACAACTTAAAAATGAAGAAAATTTCACAAGGAACATGATGGTACAGTCAGTCAATTTACCATGCAACTATCACGTGCTTAGTCGTTTTCTACCAATTAAATTCGCTATTAGCTTCCATGGACTTTAACAGCCAGCATTTTATCACGTATTTTGCACATAACAGGGCAAAGTCCAGATGGCCAACAACCAATTAAGGAGCCCACGTTATGATTTGCAAAATGATTCTTTTCTCTTAGTTCAATCTATTTTCACTTGTTCCAAGAATGGAGACCGGAAAATATCTATATCCAGAGGCTGTTAGAAATAAACTAGAGCTTTCCACTGCAAAATCATATGGAAGAATATTTTGAGGTAACTATAACCATTATTGAACAAGGGGCTACTCTGAGCCTATATTCTGGCCAGACTTGCAGTTCAGAGGGAACGAATTGAAGGCTTTGCTGTTTTAGTAAAATCGTTGTTGAGTGCTTTTCATTGTTTGTTAACATGGAAAGTTATGGAGGTTAAGACTTTGGATCAAGTTGACGCCATCCACGACAATTTGAAAATATTAAAATTGCTAAGAGGAAATGCAGTCATGGTAAAAGCCGAAAGAAAGCTAAGAGGCCAACCCCCCTCCCTACCCCCAAGACAACAACATTGCTCGGTACGTGCAAATGGGGTTGGATAGGGCACACCCTCAGAAAACCGAACAGCAATGTTACCAGCCATGCACTGAGGTGGAACCCACAGGGAAAGAGAAAACAAGGCCGTCCCAGAAACAGCTGGAGGAGAACTGTGGAAAGGGAGGCAGCCAAGACAGGCTACACCTGGAATGAAATAGAGAAGCTGGCCCGGGATATAAGGAGATGACATGAGGTTTCCTTGGGCCTATGCTCCACAGGGAGTGAAAAGGAATAAGCAGAGGAAATGCGGGGTTGCTCAATAAAAATTTGCATTTGAACGCGATGATCTTTATTTACAAAGATTTCTCCCGCTTACATCTAATAACAAACCTATGAAGTTTTTTGCCTCAGAGCGATGTATCACAGAAGCCATTTCATGGACCTTAAGTTTTTTTGACTGATTGAAATTAAATGTAGGTGGCAGTGACTTCCACAAGTTTTTTCTTTGTTTGAAAAGTGTACTTGTTTTGTCTGCAATAGTAATCTACCAATGGATCCAATCGCCAATGTCTCTAAAAGATAATTGCATTAATTAGTGAAATTTTAAGCAATCAGCCAATGAACTTTTTCTGTTGCTATGATTGTTGTTTTCATTAGTACATTCACAACAGAATTGATTCATGGTATTCAAATAAATTTTTTTAACTTCACTTGAAAGATGAGTATGTGCAGCCAGCAGTTCAAGCGGGACTGACACTTGATGCCAAAACTCAGCCTTGTTCCCAGGATTTGTCAACCACATTGCTTTACGCCAATTAAAAACTGCTACAGAATGCCTATTGTGCATTTTTCTGCACACGAAAAACCAAATGGAATTTCTGATTCTGGCCCCTTATGGTCAGAGTAATAATTAGGACTTTGTCTCTGACCAAGGAATGGCAGTAAGCACAATTATAACTTACAAGCAGGTCGTTGTTTGGTTTTGTCATGCAACATTGGAGAGAGCATTGTGTGACGAGTTCAAATTAGGGCTGTGGAGGGAGTCAAGATCTTTCTTATCAGTTGGAGTTGGAGCACTTTTCAAGTGAAGAGAGACAGGAAAGTGAAGTAAAAGATGAAGAATGTTGAAAGCTGAACAAACACTTCATGGAGAAGGCTGTGACATTATTTATACTCACCAAATTTTTTTCTTGCCAAAAGAGTGGACGTTCCCTTTGACCTTTGACCATGAACTACGCATTGATTGACTGACAGTGATATACTTTGAATAAATCTTACACACCATAATTATAGATGGTCAGATGTAAGTTTGATACATGTATGTTATCCAAACTGAATTAATCCTCATGTACTCACAATGAAAATGTTAATTGGCAAGATTTTTGTTGAAGGAGCAATGAAGCAAAATGTTACCAGTTTTTTTGTGTTGTGTTTTTATAAAATTGATATGAGGTGTGTTCTATGGTTCAATATTTCAGTATTAGTGATAACTTCATGATTAATGTCTTCTTTTAAATCTGATTTTATTTGCTTCATGTTCTGAATTTCGATATGAATAAGTTGATTTAAAGTACAAGTGTAACTTACTAGACACTTTGCTCCAAATCAACAGATCAGAAACTAAATATCAAGGTTGACGTGGAACATGTGAAACTTGCAGATCATGACACCTGCAGCACAGCTTCAGTTTCCACAATGGAGCCAGCAGAATGTCAGAAGGTATCCATAGCATCAGGTGCACGCAGAAAAAGACCATCTGATACAGATTTAGAAGATGTCCAACCACTTGAAAAGAAAGTCCTGTGTTTAATTGCTATGAATTACCTTCATACTACACCACCAGAAAGCAGGGATGAATGCAATGAGTTTCAGGAATACTTGCTAGACATGAAGGTCCACATCACATGTGTTTCTGTAGGAAGTTTAGTGATAACAGTAAAGTGCAATTCTCTCAAGAGCTTGGAGGAATTGTGGGAAGATTACTCCTGCGGCCTTTTGGGTAAGATGGTGCGAGATTGTTTTGTGACTGAAAAGATCTTAAAGGAACTGAACCTGGCAGAGCTAAAGCTGAAGACAACAATGGACATAGAAGAGTACAATGCATGCAAATTGTACTTTGAGAAGAATGCACCCAGAGGTCAGTAAAAATAAAGGAACCAGGCCAGGTACTTTGAGAAAATGTTTTGAAAAGTTTGCAAACACAATCCATCACTCTTTCAACATGGTGTACTTGTAGGGTTTACGCACATAAGGAGGCTGGGGTGCAATTTTTGATCGTGATAGAACGAACTATCTTATGAGTTAACTGACATACTGACTATGTGAGCCATGACAAAATTAATGCTACAGTGTAGAAGTGATTTGTTTTCAAGACAATTAATATTCCTTTGATGTTTTTGTACTTTTCAAACATCCTTGACCCTACAGTATTAATTAACCTGGTATCATTTCTTATATTTTCCTTTCACTCTGGTTCTATTTGGTTACGATCCATTTATAAATAAGTTAAAATAAGCTAAAAAATTTTAATTGGCAAGATCTCTGTTGGAGGAGCTAAAGAGAATGTGTAATGAGTTTTTCATAAAATGATTAGAGGTGTGTTTCATTGGTTATTATATCGTCAGTATTCAGTGTTTACTTCATTATTTGTTTCCTTATAATTTTCTGTTAGGTGCTTTATCCTCTGAATTCCACCCCATAAGTTCAACCAGTAAAAGTTCACAAAAACAAGAAGAGCTGAAAAAATGGAAACAGAAGACAAAGATTGAGAAGACAGAGAAAATGAAAGGTGAGAAGAAAATTGAAAGAGGTGTCAAGTTATTTAATGAAAAGTTGTGAATGGTAACAACAATTATGTGAAATCTTTGAAGAATAATGTCAGAGCAATAATGTGGCATCAGTAATATTGTAAACAGTACAACTTAAAGGAAACAACACATTTGAATAGAGGCTGTGAATGCTAATCTCTCTGTTCTCTTTCCCCTTAATTAGGTACTCCACCCCTCACTGTAATAAGCACCACTGGAAAAAGAAAAGAACTAGATGAATCTACAGGAAAGACAGGTGTACAGGAAAACTTTTTTGAATTATTATCTGAAGTGAATGTATTTTTATCTTCAGCTATTATGCCAAGTGTAAAGCTAGACTTGCTTGATCTTAAATTAAGTCATAAACTTTTTCAGTTATTTTTTTTTAAAAAAATAATTATAATGTTAGCGTATAGATTGGTGTATTTTGGTGTAGTATAACCTGATCTGCACAATTTGGTGTATCTCTAAGCAATCTGATTGGCGCATCTTTTTTTTTGGTGTATCTTGAAGCAATGTGATTGGCAAACTTTTTGGTGTATCACAAACCAATCAGATTGTAGTATTTTTCGATGTTGCACCAATCAGAGCGTTCTTGCTAATTTGTGGTTTGACAGGTCTTCAAATTTCAGTGAATCAACGCATGAATTGGGGAGAGCGGTTCGCGAATTAAGGAAATGTATTAGTCTTGTTGGGAAAGTGGCGGAGTTGAGATCAATGTTCGACTATGGTTATTCTTCGTTCTAAAGGGGACTGAGTGGAACATGAGAAAAATTTTGAATCAAATATTGCTTGAGATGTTGATGGGAGCAACTTTAGAATACCCGGCCGCTACTGACTGTTAAGAATGGATTTCTCCCGTGGTCCCAATGTCGAGAAATGATGTTAAAAGAGAGGACATTTAAACCAGCGGTCCTGCATTCAAGCTTTCCTGGAGTCAAAGAATGACAAAATGATAGGGCCATTTAACTAGTGCATCCGCAATCCCGCGCCCACGTCAGTCGAAGAATTATATATTAACGAGAGGCCGTTAAACTAGTGCTCTTGTAATTCTGTGCTTTTGAGTTCAAAGAATAATTAAAGAAAAAGTGAGCTTTACGGAGTGTTGACGCAGTTCTGCACTTACTTTATTTCGTTTTCTCAACTGAGGAATATTTCATTGCTATACATGAATTCCATTTTTAATTTCGCTGAAAGAATAAGGTAAGAACGACATCAACAAGAATTGTGAGCTCATCTACCCAGTGTAATGGCTGTCCTTCGTGAGGACTCATTCGCTATGATCTGTCGGGATTAGAAAGGTCGTTAGGGAATTTTTTCTACTGCCAATTGCAAGTTAAAACGTGCATGTTTTGTGTGTAGATTAGTAATATATTGCATTGATGATCTTGTTTTTTTCCCTGTGGCTATTCTTTTTGTAAATGTTGAAGAGACCACCAGGTTATATAAAAGTTTTTTTTTTTCAACCCTGATGATAAATTATGCATTTAAAAACTGACAGTGCTTCATTTAAGATAAATTTCAGTACTGTAGTATTTACAGATGGTCACTTGTTGGTTTGCCATTTTTATCATCTTTCTGTTTAAAGTTAAACACCATGAAAGCTAACATTGCACTGTACACTTTGAACCTTAGTTACGTCACCTTCAGCTGTATATTTCACTACTGGTCATGAAAAAGAAAAAATATTGAGACATGAAACTATGAAACTTCAGGAAAAGAAAGGTATTATTATATCTGTAATACTGTAAAATAGTTATAATAATTATTATTCTTATTAATAATAGTGAACATAATGATGGTATAAAGTTTTTTTTTAACCTGATCATAAATTATGTCTTGAAAAACTGACATTGATGTATTTTTTAGATAAATTTCATCCACTTTTTGCAGACAGTCATATGTTGGTCTGCCATGTTGTCATCTCTCTTTTAAATGTAACACCATGAATACTAATATTGCTCTGTGTGCTTTTACCCTTAGGTACTTCACTCTCCACCAAACTGTCCACTGTTGGTCATGGAAAAGAACTGGAAGGAAAACTGAAAACTATGAAACTTCAGGAAGAGAAAAGTGAGTGACAAAAGGACTCTGAAGTTAATGTTTAGACAGTTATTTATAAATTATTTAATGTAACTGTTATTTTTGCCAAGCAAGAGTGCTATTCAGCAGTTATGTAGAGTCAGATAGTACTTTTCAAGGTAAATTATTTCAAATGTGATGCACCTCATAATTTCTCTACTTGTGTCAAAGGGAATTTTGTGTTGGCTTGTGGAAATGAAACGACATCGGTACATGATTATTATTTAAATACATGTATAATATCAAATCTTTCGATGTTTTCAACAACTTTTTGGTTCCATAGCTCATAAAGGCAACGTATCTATAGAAACAAATTGTTGTCCTATTTCTAACTATTTATCTGTAGAAAAGTCTGAATGGTAATCTCTCTTCTTGTATACCTTTGCTTCTTGGCATCTTGCCTCTCTTTGAAGAAGAACCAGAAGGGCTACTTATGAAACTTCAAAGAAGGAAAGGTGAGTAAAAGATGCTGTTAAATGAACCAGTTCATGGTAAAACTAAACTAAGGCTACTTTGAAATACTTTGAGTTCTCAAATATTAATTTTTGTTTGATAGGAAATTGAACCCAATTTACTTTTCCTCACTCTGTCCTTTGCTTTAAGGGAAAATGTAGATGATAGGGGCTGAGGATAGTAAACAGTATATGACAAGAATAAAAGTTTTTCTCAATTTAGATCTTAAATTATACAGTAAAAAAAACTGATAGTGAAGTAATGTAGATCAATTTTGTACACTAGCTGCAGTCATGTTTGTTTGACATGTTATATTGTCTCTATTAAGCATAACACCATAAATTGTCCTATGTACTTTTAACCTTAGGTAGTTCACCCTCTGTTGTATTGCCCCCTGCTGGACAGAAAAAAGAACTGGAAGAAAGACAGAAAACTATGAAAATTCAGGGAGAGAAAGGTGAGTGGAAACAAATCCTTAAGCTAAGGCTTAATAAAAACTAAAATTGTTAAGCAGGAAATAGAATGCTAGCTGAAATGCTATTGAGTCATGACAGCTTTTACTTTTCCAAGCAGATCAATCTAAACTTGGCTTTGCCTCATTCTTTGCTTTAATTAAAGGGAGTATTGAATTGGTATGTGTTAATAGTACATGTATATACGTGGAATAACTGTTTTCAAGAATGATCACTGGTGTCAGAATGGAGAAGTGACACTATTTGACTTCAACATGAATATAATTTGCTGTTTGTACAGGTACAGTGTAATTGCCTGTTGTTACCTTTGTAAAGTAAGACACTGAATTTTGAATAGCTCTGTATACCTTTGTTGTCAGGTTCTTTACCTTCCCCTCCTCTCCCCACCACTGATCTTGAAGAAAAGCTAGAAGAAGTATGTGTGGAACTTATGAGGCTGAGAAAGGAAGGTGAATAGAAAAAAATCATATCTTGTCATTTTCAGGGAGAATCTGATCCAACAATATTATTGCTAATAAATGTGGACATAAAATTTGGTTAGGTTTATAAATGGGCTTTTTACCAGGCTAAAATATTTTAAAGTAAAAACCAAATGTTTTGACACTAGGTCATCATTGGGATGGTGATAACTCTGAATCAAAATACATTTGGTTTTAATGTTAACATATTTTAGCCTTGTAAATGGCTCAACACTTATAAAATAATGTAATGAATTTTTGCACAATTTCACAATCACTTTTGAGAGAAAGTAATATTCCATATCTGAGACAATAACCTTTTTCTGTCCTTATTATCATCCAAGAATGCTGTTAAATACTTTCAGCTATTATTCAATATTATAACTTAGTTTGTTAGGTAAAATTTTCTCAATTTAGTTTTCCCTCGTAGTCCATAACTTCGGTTAAAAAAACTATTAAATTGGCTGTGGCATATGATAATGATACAATACTTCTAGATAGTTAATTTCAACAATGATCATAAGTCATATGTTATAGGAAAGCTTGTACCATTGTTCCTTCATTTGACCTAAGTACATGCTGGTATGCTTTAACTTTTAGCAAAAGTTATGGCACTGAGTGCCGAATACATCTGTGTATACCTTTTCTCTCAGGTACTTTAGTTGTTCCTGAATCTTCAACCAGTTATCTTGTGAAAAAATTAGCAGAACTACGCATGGAACTTATAAGGGTCAGAATGGAAGGTGAATGAAAATGTTTATTGATTCCTTCTCAGAGAATTAACTGAATTTAAGAATTCTTTTAATAAAATGCTTTGACTAATACTGTATTGAATAATCACTTTCTAAGGAAAAATTCTCCCTCTTATCTACTATTATAATAACTTATAATAAAGGCTTCTATTCTTTATTCAAATTATACTTTTTCAAGGGAAAGTATTTCCTAGTAAAGATAACCCCCAGGCTTCTACATTTAGATATATTAAGTGAGATTGCTATCTAATACTTTCAGCATTGTCATGTTATAGGAGATTATTCTTGATTTAGTTTTTCCTCATTGTGCACTGTGGTTGAAGGGAGTATAAAGTTGGCTGTGGCTCATTATGATGAAACAATTTTTCTTAATGGTTCATTTCAAGAATGGCCAAAGGAGATTAATCACAGAAGTGACGCTATAATTGTGCTATCACATAACCATAATACAACGTACAATGTTGGGTATCTGTTTTTGACCATTTATGTAAGGCAATAATTATATTTAATTAAGGCACTACATGATTAATACAGTATATATTTGAGATCACCCTTCTCATCAGGTACTCTGCCTCCCCCTGAACTCTTCACTGCTAAACTTGAAAAAGAACTGAAAGTACTACATGCGAAACTACCGAGACAAAGTTGGGAAGGTGAGTAAAACAAGGATAGTGGTTCTGTTGAACAGGACAAACTAAATATGGAAAGTTAAGCAAGGAAATGGTCGCTCTAGTTTACGTCCTTTGCAACATAGGCTTTATTTTTTAAACAGAAAAACTTTAAGGTGAAACTCAATTCCTAAATTGTTCTGTATGTGTTTTCGACATTCTCGGACACCTAATGTAATCCATGTGAGTGAATTTCATGAACTAGGAGGTGGGTTAACCTACAATGCAACCGAACATTTTACTCATTGCTTTTAAATTTCGAAGCCTTGCATGCAACTTGCAAAAAATCTGCACCCACTACATGGTAAAACCTTGAATAAGGTGTATTTACTCCATATCTAAACTAACCCCTCTGATATAATGCTATCAACCAAGAATGGTATTAAATGCTTTAAACCGTTTTGCTCTTTAGATAGTCGTCTTCTAATCTCGACCTTTAACAGAGACGTAAAAGAACTTCTCAGGAAACTGCAGGAAAAGAGGATGGAAGGTGATTAGATGGTGCACAGTTAGAGAGAAAATTAGTTTTTACAATAATTTTAGAAATTCTCGCGCGCTCATTGGACAGGAACTATTGTCAGAGGGGATTTTTACCACAATCGGCAGTAATGTCACATTCTGATTGGCTAACTTGCTATTGTCGATGAGAGTACAGACTATGCTGCTCACGTCATTGTGGCACGCAACGTGTCATGCACTGAAGGAATATTGTGGTAAACAACGGCAGTGGTTAAGCGAGGTCTGTTCTCTTATCGACAACGATATTCGTCATCGAAGAGGTCAAAATTTGTTGCGGACCCAATCGGCTGCTCCTCGTGAGTCAACGACATTTTGGACTCTTCTTCTACCACAGTAATTATTAACAACTGCGATGCTCAGTTACGTTCCTCTCAGTGTAGCACTGAGCACTTAGATGAGGAATGTTCTCACGAGTTGCAAATCTTGGCAACCCATGCCAGCCATCGCCCTCATTTAGTTAGTAGACAACCTTCCATTGCACTCAGAGAAAATAAATAAAGTAAAACAAGTGAAGAAAGACCACGGAAAAGTGAATTTCTCCTAGTGCTTCTTAAAATTAACTGGTTTCTTAGGATAAGCTCATCCTGGTCCTAGAAACTTTCAAATTTTCCTACTTATGCAAAATTATAGGTGCTGTTACGCGCAGTTTGCTTGGTGCGGGTAGTGCTTTGCACGCGCGTGAAGTGTGGGGTACTGTGGTGACAAATTTCAACTGTTAGTTGTTAAAAGGGTTAACCGAAGAATTTTTTATTAAACTTCTTAACAGAGAGAAATTAATCGTTAGCCGTAAAATGGCCAAAATTTTAACCGTAAGCCGTTGAATGGCTACACTTTTTAACTGTTAGCCGTAATAGCAATCACTCCATTGAGACCCTAATGTATCTCACGCATTAAAGAACTTTTGAAAAGATAATGTGATATGCAAGAAATGATCGACAACATAAAATGGTAGTGGTATCTTTCAATAATAAATATAAGTTTAATGTTAAGCTTCTCCGTGTTCTATCACTGATAATGGTTACATTGACGCTTACTTTGTCTTAAAGAGTAGTTCCTTAATTTTTTTTCTCAAGAATTTCTCAGATCTTAGAATATGACCTAAAGTATTGAAATAGTCTGTGCTTTTTTTAATGTCCTCCATAATAGCATTAGAGAACACCATGTATCCAATCATTAGATCAGGACTGGCGAAGTTTGATGTCAGTTTACCCGAGGAACTCCAGAGCTATGTCAGCTACTTATTCAATGAGTCAGCCAAACTTGGCCTACGCAAGCGAGGTATTTAACATGGCTAAAATAACTGACAGTTTGTATTGGTTTTCAAACATATTTCCAGTTATATATATTCTGTCGTAAGATTGCAGAGAAATGCTGGGTTTTTGTAATGGTCAAGATTTGTGATCTTGTGTTGGGTTTGTTCTTACTTAGTAGACGTGGTATATTTAAACAATCATCAAATGACCTACGCGGTCCAATGCCCGTTCTTAAAGGAAAAAAAAAAGATTTATAAACAGATCCCTCTTTGAGGGCCGTGTGCGTTTGTGCGAGCAGGGGCATTAAGAGCCACTGACCGTAAATATCGAGGGTCGGCCGACAGTTGCAAAATTTCGTAATTAATTTTATTGTTTTCTAAAGGACCCTTTTAATGAACCTTTTTCGAAAATTATATCAAACAGTTCTTTCGCGCTTTTTTTTCTCCGAAAAATCGAAAAGTTCAAAATACGTCTAAATGGCCGTTGTTCCCGCGTAAAGTTATGAAAAATTATGCAACTTTGGCAACTTCCTACGCTACAACGCGTTGCAATTCTGCAAGAGTTCATGTATTTGTTACATTATCCTCTTGTGGAACAATACTCCAGTTGATGCTAGCCAGTCAGAGTCCCTTGGCTCTTTTAAGCGCAAGCTTAAGGAATTTTACTTTAACAGACTCTTAAATGTCTTTGATGGCGAAAATTATCGTACTTTTAAAATAATGTGTCCAAAATGTCGTCGGATAAATACCCACTCGGTTTGTAGCTGTTAGTTTCTAGTTGTTGTCTTTTTGTGTACGTGTATTAGATTTAGGGGATAGAGGGGATAGGATGCGTAGCTTTTGAGGGTTGGGTTGGTATTTAAACCTAGTAGGAGAGTCATGTGCTATTGTTTATATACCAGCCTTAAATAAATAATAAATAAATAAATAAATACATTCCCGGGCAAGCTGAGAGATTGGCCATGACGTCTTGCGTGACAGCCGTTCAGCGGATCGCATTACTTTTTTTGTCATTTAATAGCTCGAACTCTTTAAAAGCTGGACGCGTTGCCTATGGCGGGCCAAGAAATAAACTTAGAGGAATTAAACTTCAAGAATAAAACTTTAAGATTACATATTTTTTGGTTTGCAAATCTATCATACAAGGACGGTGGCCTATGAGGGACATGTCACATTTTTTTTATCGCGCGATAGATGATAGATTGTCGTGCGATAAAAATAGAGATTATCGCGCGATAAATGATAAATTATCGCGCGATAAATGGAAATTATCGCGCATTAAATGGACGTTATCGCGCGATAAATGATAAATTATCTCGCGATAATTTTTATCATTATCGCGCGTTAATAAAAATTATCGCGCGATGATTTATATTATTACACGTCTCGGGCAGTCAGAGGGCCAATAACTAAAATCAACCAATCAAAATGCTCTATTGCCGGTCAATATTCTCTCAGTATTGGACCGGACACTGTCCCGAATGATACCGCACTTGTGTCCCTTTGAACTTCAGTCGTATAATAAATCTCTTATTAACCAAGCTTGCTCGGGACCGTACTGGAAGAATATCGGCCCTCGGTCTTTTTTGTACGGACCTCGCTGCGCTCGGTCCGTACTGTCAAGACCTCGGGCCGATATTCTCCCAGTACGGCCCTCGCGCTTGGTTAATAAGATATATTTATT